GGTCAACTCGGTCAACTCGGTCCACTACCCTGGTCAACTCGGTCAAGTCGGTCAACTCGGTCCACTACCCTGGTCAACTCGATCAACTCGGTCAACTCGGTCCACTACCCTGGTCAACTCGGTCAACTCGGTCCACTACCCTGGTCAACACGGTCAACTCGGTCCACTACCCTGGTCAACTCGGTCAACTCGGTCCACTACCCTGGTCAACTCGGTCAACTCGGTCAACTCGGTCAACTCGGTCCACTACCCTGGTCAACTCGGTCAACTCGGTCCACTACCCTGGTCAACTCGATCAACTCGGTCAACTCGGTCAACTCGGTCAACTCGGTCAACTCGGTCAACTCGGTCAACTCGGTCCACTACCCTGTTCAACTCGATCAACTCGGTCAACTCGGTCAACTCGGTCAACTCGGTCAACTTTTTTTACAGGGTTTCAGCATACGTCACCTATCGAGTCGTTTCCCCTGGCAACGTGGGACGCCATGATGGCCGCCATGTTGACTGCACCCTTCCTTATAATTCAACACCTTCTTCCAGCCATGAGGACTAAAGGTAACATTGTCAATACAGAAGAGAAGTCAAACCCTTCAGACATAGTTTTAGACATAGTTATAGCTACCTTTATCATGTAGGCTTTAGTTATTTTATATTCTATTTCATTGTTTTATCTTTTTATTCTTTTATGTTTTGTAATTTTCAATTAGCCTCCGGGCACGAATTTGCAATAAACTTTTCAATATATGTGTTGCTCTTTAAATAATAATCAGAAATAAATCTAGAATTGCAATATTTCCTGCGCCTGGGGCAAAAATGCCACATACATAAGGTTATATATTAGGTGCAAGCGGCATCTATAAATGACTCTTCTTGTTTTGTGCCCTCCTCTCACCTCACCTCACCGGTCCCATAGCAGTCTATGTGCCCAGTGCTTATTAAAAGTCGTCAAGTTTTGCGCAGAAATTAAAGAGTGTCATGAGAATGTTGTTCAGAATTCATAAACCGATCCTTAGAACTTACGTATCTTGTTACCTTGATGCGTATCATTTATCAACATAACCATAAGTTTTACTCCTGAGCAATTGCCAAATTATTATTTTTTTTTAATTTAACGGTTCTCAGTTGCCAATATGAGATGTTGTCACATCGGCGCACCAAATCCGTAAGGTGTCTTTGACAGACAGATTAGCCTAAGAGACTCGGTGGGCGTCACTCCACCGTATAGGTGGGGAAGTCGTGTAAAGAACCTTTCCCAAGGGCACAACGTCGGGCCACGGTGAGTATCGAACCCGGGACCTCTCGGTTCCGAGTCCAACGCTCTAACCGTTGCGCCACCGACGCCAACTAATTGCCAAATTATATGTATTTTTATTTCCATATTTCAGGATGGGGAAGGATAATTAATATATCCTCTGCTCACGGTGTGGTGGCTTCTGTGGAGAAGTGTGCATACGTGTCAGCGAAACATGGCATTAACGGACTAACCAAGGTGATTTATTTTATCATTAAGGTAATTCGATCGCCCTTTTAAATTTTCTTATAAAGAGGAGTCCATTAACCGGTAATTGCCGTTGATTTGCAACACTTTTGGCAGAGCAGGCAAAGTGCTATCGTGCCGACAACAGCAAAGCCCCCCCCCCTCAGAATAAAAATGTAGGTATTTCCTTATCAAATGCTTCCGGTTTAGCATGTCCAAGTACACAAATTCTAAACATAGTATTTCGTTTTATTCCGAGAATTTTGTTAAGTGTATACACACACTTGTTTTCTACAAACGAAGCTTTAAGCATATATATTAGACCAAATCATAGCCTCCTTCGCAGTCTTGTCGGGCGTCGGTTTTTTTTTCCATGTGAGCGACGCCAGTTGTATGCCGCGGAGGGACGATTTTGCTGCCGAGGGAGTTTTTGCCGTGGAGAGAAGGTTTTGCGCTCGAAATAACGCCAACTCCCAACAAGTCTGAGAAGGAGGCTACCCAAAGCCTGCGTTGTTGAGATGCCTATGCTGTTAAGCATAGGAACGGGGAATACTTCAACCATGGAGGTTCAACCGAATCCGTAATTATATTGTTAGAATTGTTAATCAAATCTGTGTACCTGTCATACCGAAATCACTAACGACCTCAACCCACCCCCCACCTTCTCCTCTACATGAGGTTGTCCACCCGGTCTTAAACATTTGTTCCTCACTACTTTCTATGCGCACGACATATACCAGGGGAAACTAATAAACTATTGTACTGCTTGTTGTCAGGTCGTTGCCTTGGAAACGGCGGGGAGCGGGGTCACGTGTAACGCCGTGTGTCCCGGATGGGTTCTGACACCACGTGAGTATTTCGGTTTTTAAAATTCACCAATTTCACACTTCCCATAATGCCTAGTAACGGTCACGGATATGCAGGGATATGACGTAAGACCATCCCCCCTCCCCCTTCCTCGATGTAATATTTCCAACAAATATGCATTTATGGCATGTGCTTTATACTAGATAAATAATTCAAAACAATAGTTGACCAGTTTGTCGATAGAATTTGTTGGAAATACGTATTACATCGAGGAAAGGGGAGGGGGATGGTCTTACGTCATATCCCTGCATATCAGTGACCGTTACTAGGCATTATGGGAAGTGTGAATGGCGGCGATATGTGATCGTTTAACGCTTAAAACACTAAGTTTTTAGTTCTATCTATTATGGGGAATTTCACTGTCTACCTCTTTAGGCATGTCTTCACTACCATCAACACAGTCTGATAAAGTTCCTGTTGGCTAGGATCCAGCTACTGGGACCTAATTTTCGGTTTCTGACCTTTTTGTCTGTAGTGAGTTAGATATGCTGTCCACCTGCTATCACTAGCTATAGTACAGCACGACTACAAAAGCAAACCAACAAAACCAAAACAATACTTGCTCTTTCTATATTGCATCTAAGTTCAATATGAATCGCATTTCGATAGATATGCGAGTTTAAAATCAGACTGCAGAGGGGTGTATAATATACTACCTGTGCACGAGAGATTATGTAAATATTGTACAATGAATGCAGTGGAAAATGAAATACATTTTGTTAGCCAGTGTCCTCACTATGAGACCGAATGAAACAGATTATTTCAGACAGTTACAACGGTTTCTACTTCCTTTCGTCATTTAGAAGATCACCAAAAAACTGCATTTCTACGAAGATCACAAAACCCACTAATTATGCAGAATGTGGGACTATTCATTATCCACTGCCTTCAAAGAAGAAGTCGAACCCCATAATAGCTAGCGTAGTAGTAGAAGTAGAAGTTTTTTTCCAGACAGTTGTTACCTGTCTCCTGTTACTGTATTGCAATGAGTATTATACTTGATTGTAAAAGCAATTAGCCTTTGGGCATGATTTTGCGAATAAAGTTTCTATTATACTGAATATAATTTCTTTTCCAGTTGTTGAAAAACAAATTCGCCAACTGATGAAAGATCACAGCATAACTTGGGAAGACGCACAGGTATTCCTGCTGGTTGTTGTATACTATCCCAGATTATTGACTAGAAATCTGAGTCAAACTGTATGTAAATACAATGTAATCTTCTCAAAATCTACATATACTAAGCACATATATAAGTTGATTAATTGTTTTTGATATTATAAAGAATGGTACGATTCCAGTACTTTAGGTTTTAAGCCTGCTGTGCAATAAAGTACAAAAGAAACAAAAAAGAAGTATCATATGATTAAAGTTAAAACTTTCGATCCAACACAAAAAATTCTCTCACCTAGATGATTTTTTGTGTTAGATCGAAAGTTTTCACTTTAATCATGTAACTACAAACACAGATGACCTTCCATAATAGTATGAAGTATTATATGTAGTTCTGTTATATGGTGCCATGCCTGTTATCATGTAGCCCCTATCCTTGATGCAGGATATATCATTAAATAGCTGAATGTACTAGCTTCTAAGACATTATTATCTTTTCCCCAGACGATGCTTCTATCGAACAAGCAGCCTTCCAAAGGTTTTGTGACTCCTGAACAGGTAAGGGAGAGTAAATTTTAGTTACAGCACCATAAGGGGCAGACGCCATGTTTGTTTTGGAAGGAGATTGCGCTGTTGACTGTAGTTTACTCACGCCCCACTAGGAGAATGCGCTGTTGACTGTAGTTTACATACGCCCCACTAGGAGTGTTATAATTAACATTTAGTGTTGGATTTAACGACGCCAAATAGAAATGTATTAATGAAACGAAAAATCATAACAAATTGTTGAATTGTCAGATATTTCGAGGACATGAAACACTTATAGACGGTATTTAAAAATCATTCCAAGGCACACCATACCCAAATTTGAAATAAAACACTGAACATACTTCCGCGTAATTCAGTGCATTGTATACACATACACGCATAGAAGCGTGCAAAAATATTAGTAACTACATGAATGAAAGAAAAACCAGTTAAAATAATTTTTTTTTCATTTTGTTTCAGATCGGAAACGTGGTAACCTTTCTTTGCTCCCAAGCAGCCAATCAGATGACAGGATCCATCCTTTCTATTGATGGAGGATGGACAGCCCAGTGAAAGATCCCCTGCCATTGGCCACAAATACTTAGCCTTGCTTTTTAATGCTTTTTAATGCTTTTAATTAAGAATACGGAGAAATATCTCAACAAGAACACCGTTGCATGGCATTTTTTTTATTTTGTCTAAAACAACATAAAGACGCTTCATTGCGTTAAATATGACGTAGCAGTGTAATATTCTGGTAATGAATAAAGTAGGCTAATCGTATGTAAAGATAGATTCATGTTTACATATTTACACGATAGAAACTGAAAAAAAAAATGTTATTACATCGAGAAAGCGAGGAATAATTTCCTCATCTACTTAGCATGCGCTCGCTATATCATTTACAGATGTTTGTGTTATCAGTTCTTGCTGTTACACTGCACTTTTGAGGAGCTTCATACTTTATTTATTGTACTGCCTTCAGGATTCCTAGCACCAGAGTGAGTTTACTGGGTCGGACTGCTCTACTTCTAAGATAGAGGAGTTCTGAACAGGGCTGCTCTACTTCTACGAAAACAGGGGTGGATTCATAACAGTTAGTCGTTACATGATCGCATTGACAGATGTGGGATATAGAAGGAGACTGAATCAGACAATTTAGTAGTGCACCAGGTAGCAAATATGGCAGTTTTTGTTCAAACAGACACACAAGCACACAATGAAAAGAATACTTCAACTTTCGCATTTCGCATAACTGAATCTCGTAGGTTTTGCAAAACTGTCTAGTCCTCCAACGTTTCTACGGGAAGGTCCTCCACATCCATGGTGTCCTCCATCTCGTCTGTGCCACGTTCTTCTGAATCGTTGCAGTCATTTGCAGACGGTGCCACTTTTCTATTTTCCCTCTTCATCAGATACAACTGCAATGATCTGAAGACCAAGCCAGCAGCGCTTTTCGCCGGGTATAACAGTTCTCCAGCTTTCAGACCGTACAGGCCTATCAGAGTTATCCGTAACGTAAAGAAAGGAAGGTCCTGGACAAATATATTCGTCAGCAGCCATTTTTGAGCTCTGCCATTCCCAGATTCGTCCTCGTCGTTTTTATACTTCGGAGAGCGAGGAACGTACTTGAACATGGCGAGAAGAGAGAAGGCAAAGATGGCGAATATCGGCCATGTTTTGTTTGCGATGTCGTCGTCTAGGCCGAGAGAAATGAGTTCCATGATGTCGTAGGCTGTGTGGAAGTCGTTGAGCATAGCCTCAGCCATGTCGGACGAGAAGTCGTCCTCTTTCCACTTGGCGACCCACTCCGTGGCTATGAGACAGAGGAGGATGATGGGAGTGGTGATGTAGATGGCGTCTTCGTATAGTTTGGCATTGACGTTGGACAGGGGGATCTGCGTAGTAAATGGAAGAGCAGGAATTAGGACTTTCGGTAGGGGGTCTGTTCAGTAAACAGAAGAGCACCTATTAAAACGTTTGACGGGGGATCTGCACAGTAAAAGCTTTAAAAGTGTCAGAGCATCATTTTTTTTATATTTCTTATGGGCTCTGAATAATGAAAAAGAGCAACAATTAAGTTATTTGAGGGAGGTTTTGTTCGGTGGTTGTTACAAATATTTTTGGTGGTTGTAGCAAATATTTCAATGGTTGTAGCAATCAATGTTTTTCGTGCACCTTTAGTGGTCAGTACATTTTTTTTTTACTTTCATTGGCAAGACATTGTAAATGATGCATACCCTTATATATACGAATATGGTCTTATATATGTTTATTAACTAAACGATTGTTGTTCACGCTATTTGTTTATTCTAAATATCCTCCTTAATTAAGGCAACAATATTCTCTTACCTTGTATTAGGCATGTAATCGGACATTTTGGCTTTCTTTTATCTTTCCAACAGTGATAGTTTTTCTTGGAAACGAGATTACAGTACTGCGTGCGTAGGAAATAACAGCTTAAATCGTAGTTCTATAGCATATGCGGCATAGCGTCAAACATAATTATTCACAATCAGAGACATTTTGTAATGTAAAAACTTGTAATACCTGTATTCCAATAAGAATCATGACGTAGCACGGCAGTGCAGACAGCAGGTTGTACAGTAGGATGGACGGTCTCCTAATGGAAACATTGGTGAGATACCAGATCAAAACTTCACCAACGGAAACACAGGTGAGATACCATATCATCAAACCTTCACCAATAGAAACACCGGTGGGATACCATATCATCAAACCTTCACCAATGGAAACACAGGTGAGATACCATATCAAACCGTCGCCAATGGAAACACAGGTGGGATACCATATCATCAAACCTTCACCAATGGAAACACAGATGGGATACCATATCAAACCTTCACCAATGGAAACACAGGTGAGATACCATATCATCAAACCTTCACCAATGGAAACACAGGTGGGATACCATATCATCAAACCTTCGCCAATGGAAACACAGGTGGGATACCATATCATCAAACATTCACCAATGGAAACACAGGTGAGATACCATATCAAACTTCACCAACAGAAACACCGGTGGGATAGGCCATATCATCAAACCTTCACCAATGGAAACACAGGTGGGATACCATATCATCAAACCGTCGCCAATGGAAACACAGGTGGGATACCATATCATCAAACCTTCACCAATGGAAACACAGGTGGGATACCAGGTGAACTGTAATCATCAGCAGTACTAGTATTAAACCCACGAGTCAAGCGGACTATGCAACACATCACACTTCTTACGTTAAAATCTCTGACAATATATGAGATAAAAATTTTGCGTAGAACTAAAATATTCCCCTCCCCTTCTGCACTAGGTTACCTGGAGCCCTCCCCAACGCATGTTAATCATTGACACGTAATAATAAACAATAGAAGCAAGAGCTTGTTCTACCAAGCTTAGTCTGCGCACAGTCAACTTAACTAGGGCAACATCAGTAGTAAATACTTACAAAAATAGCCATTAGAAGTACGTGTATCATTTCAAAACTAAACGAAGCATTAGATATGTTTTCATTTGTATTTTGGACCATTACTTTGCAGGGTATTTAAAACATTTTGGTCACAGTACCTACCATTCCAATGACGTATGTGTAGATTGCCGTTGCCTGTATAGGAATAGCTTGACTGGTAGATACACTGCCAAGGTAACCAATAGAAAACTTCCTAACAGTATCATCCAGTAGGCCACGAGCGACAGTTCTCCAAAGAAAGAACTCGCCTGGTTGGCAGATAGGGTTGAATTTCCTGACGAGGTTAGTTGATGTCCCGTCACGAATACAGGAACCGCCATCAAACCCAACTGGAGTACTTCAAGTCCCACGGCTTTTGCTACGAAGCTTGCCATTGGAGAAGCTACATAAATTCCTACCCAGCGAAAAGGTTTTGATCTGGAAGGCTAATCCACAGTCGTTATACCACCTTTCAAAACCTTGTCTATTCAAGATCTCTGCTGCCATACGCAAGAAGGAAGAAATATTTTAAGAAACCCAAACTTCGTTACGCAACTAGACACTTGTGTCCAAGTGTACAGATGAGGGGGGTGAGCCGGCCGCCTTTAGCGTATAACGGGAAATAATGTGTATTGCTACCTTTAAAACTTGCAAGTTCACATTATACATAGACTTATCTTTTACTCAGTGTGAAATTTGTCTTAAAACAGAAATATGAAACAATAAGAAAAAAGTGTGTAACTGTACGTCAACCTTTTTACAGTGGACTCTTCCACAGACGACGTTTTTAATGAGTTGATAAATCCTTTCTTTATTGATGTTTGCAACTTGTTTTCTCCGGTTGCCAGGCGACTATCTAGAAGCAACGTCATAAAGACTGGTTAATGGCAACCTGCCAGTGCCGTGGTGTAGTAACACTGCGCAGGTTGTTAGGAACCACTCGACCACAAGTCATGCACAGGTTCCGCCAGGTTGATCTGTCACCGGCACAGACCCTCCAGTCGTCTCTGACACCCAGCTCCCCAAGTGTGGGGAAGAGCTGGTCTTCCCATCTTGCCCTAGGGCGGCCCCTTGGACGTCTCTAGGTTGGGTTAGGTTGTGAGGTCAACTTCAAGTATCAAAAAATTAAAAAAATGAAATAAATAAATTTTGTTGCATTCCGAAGATGATTAACATGCCCAAAAATTGCAAATAATTAACTTCAGCAAGACAAAGCTTTTTGTGAAGTCTTTTTTTTTTACTTTGATAGTGTTTTATGTCATGTATTTATGTCACGTGACCTTTTAATTCATTTTATATGTTTACAATGTGTCACGCCTTAAAAAAACAAATCGATATTGTAAAATGTACACAATATAGAGCTGGAGGCAGCCGCATGCTGGACGCATTTTCGACAAATGCCAAGAGTATTTGCCCGACTAAAGGTGGCAGAACATTCGAACACGGGGGGGGTCACTTGAGAAACACGACTAACCAATATGTTGAAATGTACGGTATAATCTACAAAATACAAAAAAATATAAGAAATATTGTTTTTTAAACATGTTGACGACCTCTATGAAAAGGTCAACGGAACTGCAGCCGGCTCACCCTGAAACGCAGTTGGGTAATGCAGCGCATTTATACACGAAAACAGGGAAAATAACCCTTTACAATGTAAATCCTACAGTGGCCCAAAGATTTTTCAACCAACCAACCAACCAACCAACGCATCAGCCAGCCAAGCAACCAACTAGCTTCTTCGCCTGTTAAATGTATAAATGTAACGATCTTATAATAAGTCTGAAGATGTAATGTTTCATATGAGAACTGCAATAGCCATTTCTGTACGAACAGACTAATTTTTTGGGGGAAAATGATTACTTTCAGATCGGAGATATCAGAGAAATTAAATACATGAATCCGAAGTTTACCTGCTACGACCAACTAATATGCAGAGCTACTAATCACCAAGCCTGAAATTGGTGACAATGGCGGTGTCTAAAAAGTCTACATTTAAGAAAAAATGAGATATTTTACTTCTCAGCCCACTTTCTGTATGAAAATAGACTGATCATTCTGAAATAATCCCCTCGCGAAAATAATTCATTTCAATATCCTTTCATTGCAAACATCAAAACTTAAAAAATGTCTTCTGTGCAAAAAAAAAATTCAAAGAGAAAGACAGACGAAGCCCTAAAAATCAGACTATTTCTTACGTGACGTGGTGGTCTAATAACTATTCAGGAACCTGACATTTAATTCGTCTGATTGGAAAATGTGCTCGGGCACGTTCAATATAAGGCGGTTTTGATGGAAAAGTCATCCTAAATACCTAGCAAACATTTTTTTAATTATTTTTTGTTATCGTTAAGGACACCTTTGGTCAAACAAGATTTCTGTTTGCCATAAAGCGACTACAAATTCGCACAACTCGCTCAAATCATGCGAACAATCAAATGGTTCGTCTTAAGGACACAGCAAGTAAATTGTATGGATGACATCCTCCGCAGACTCCAAATCTAATGCGATAGGGCAAAGAAAAATAAGGCGGGCCAAACAAAACAAGATTCCTACTTTTTTTTTTTAATTTTGACATCATAAACGTTGTTAAAAAAGAAATTATACCTATATCGTGTTAAGTTTCTCGTGACTGCCAACTATTACAACATCCATTTGTCCCTGAAACAACTTTGTAAAATACGTTTTCAATTATTGTACAAATTGTTTTGATTCAGTGGATGCATCCCATATACAAAGCCACCATAACGAATAAAAGGAATAAAATACATCACTGCATCAAAGTAAAAGACAAATCATTAAATCAGAGCGTTGTCTTGTGTCGTACGTTGTATCTAACTGTCATCCGCGTGCCGGCATGGCAATAGAAATCTTTGCCCATTTTTGGCATCAGGCGAAAATTAATGCGCGCGCTGATGTTATCCATAAACATTACTTGCCTAAGTCCTGAATAATTGTTACTCCGTGAAGGAGGTCAGGACCTCCGGACGGAGTGTTGTGATCGGCTGATTTTTCATGTTTGCAGTCAAAACACTGGGTTCTCTTTGTGTAATCGGCACGCAATTTTATACGCCGTCTGCGGGCATGCCCGTGTTGATGCACGAATGTGTATTTTTGCCGTTGCTGCTTTCGCGGTCAATGTAATATTGCAGACGCACCCCTACAATTACGAGGCGAATTGGAATGGTCCAGAAAAACGCGTTGTTTGGAATAGCAGTGGGGGGGGGTGGAACTTCATGCAGATACGGGGTGGTTTTGATAAGTGGTTCCAGATGCTTTTGCCCATGCTTAAGAGATGCCAAGTTTTTTGGAAGATGTTCGCAGCCAAAATGCATTCTTCCGTACGTCGCATTTCTGTGTAATTTCGCATGTGGTGTGGCATTATGTCCGGGATGATGCACGTCTTTTTATTTTTACCGTAGCTGTTTTGATATTGAAGTAAATGCATATTTTAGAAACATCCCTACTTTTACAATCCTGTGGAATAGGCCGAAGGTTTAGGCAGTTGTCTGGTAGCAGAGGTACTGTAAGCAGATATCCTGGTTATCTGGCCGGCGGTAGTAACACTCGCGGTGCTTACCGCAACTGTTGCTGGATTTTGCCCTGTTCCAGGCGCGCTTAATTAGGTACAGGCACGGTAAGACGGTGGGACTGTGTTTGTTACTAGACACGACCATGATAGTCCGATCTTTATGTGAATGCAATGATTGTGTGTGTGTAATTAAAATGAACTTCGAACTTGAAGCACAGTATCTTTACACGCCCTGGGAGCAGTAATGGATTTAGCTCTTTTTATGTTTTATGCTTGTGACGCGCCCTCATTGTATTAACCGTTGCCTAATTATAATGTCTGCACAGTAGGTCTGGCGTTGACGCTTGGGATTTTGTTGAAATATATAAAACTTCACGGAGGATTGTCACCTATGGCTTCTTGTTTTGTTTTCTGTCTGCTCACTCCTGGATCGAACTTTGCCTACTCAGAACCAATCATTGCATCACCGGTCGTGCAGTCAAGGGTTGGATTCCAGTCAAGCATCACTGATTGTGAATGCTCTCCGTAGAAGTCTTTAGGTGAGTGCTATTGTTTCCTTACCTAGCTACTGCAACCGAATCTACTGTTTTCTGTTACATCGATAATCATTATCCTTATAGAAAGAGAGGTCTTGAGTCGTGGAGCTTCGACAGCCCGGGTGCCATCCTCCTTTTTTCCCGCCGGTTCCCTACTGTCGCTACGTACCATGGATAACGGCACCCGGGCCAGGGCCTCAGTTTCAGTTTATTTCGCACTTTAAAACAAAATGTAACAATACAAATACAAGAAAATATAAATGAAATGTAACAGTGCAGGGAGGCCGGAAGCTTAAAATGCTTATGAGGAGGCCTCCCTTCATAACGTGATTAACAATTCAAATCAATCGGATGAATAAGGCCTCGAAGGAGGCCACTTTTAGAACAGGTGAAAATCAGTGTGCGCGCGGATGTCATCCATAAAATTAAATCAATGTGGCCTTATCCAATGATTTTTTCAACTCTTTTCTAGTTTAAACTGTATTTTTGCTTGAGGAATCCATATCTGTTAGAATACAAGACGAATATTGGAATCGATTTTGGGGAGATACAGACTCATAACTGTAGCGATGATTGCCTCAGCGCGTGGTCGTGATTTGACGTCAGGCCTACATGTATTACATAAGCAAAAAATCATTTGTCTGGTGGTAAAAAAACAAGCGCATGGGCAAGGTCTTGGAAAAAAGAACACAATTCACCAACATCACTTTGCATTCTGCGTTATCTTTAATGAGAATTTAGATTTGCACATAAGTTACTAAGTACCTAATACTACTACAATACATCTATACAGGCGATCGGTCAACTCCTATTTAATCAGGACCAAGTATTGTATTGTCTGTGCAGCTGAGGCTGATTCTAAAGTTGACAAACCGCTTCCAGGAACCGCCTCGTCAGTACAGGGGAGACGCCACAGCTGGTCCTCTGCATTGAGGCTTATGCAAAAACAGACAATAAAGGTGTTATATCTCACCTTTCAGTATTTATGGTCACAGAAGCTCACCTTCATGTGGTAGCATATTTACTAATATGTACTTACAACTCTTTTCAAGATATTGTATATCACTATCCACACGCTAGTGCCCGATGTGTAAACAACACATGTTACTGTTATTAAAAGGAAAGATGATAATGATCTCTGGGTTAAAGCGACGATGCTATAATTATGCTGCTATTTGTCAAGCTAGTACGTTAAGTGGAAAATGGTGGTCCTTTTTTCTATGTACCCGGGCTATTCTATGTCGAAGTTTATTTATGGCTAGGCCCAACTGTATGGTATCAGAACAAAGTTTCCGCTCCAAGGCGATTTCTATAGCTAAGGAACCCAAAGTTAGAAGGTTAGAAACTTCATAAATTTATAGTACGGTGCACAAGCAAGATACAGCAAATGAAAAAAAAAGTTTGGGTTCAGGGAAAAATCTACAAAATATGTGAAAATTCCCTGTAAA